GGAAAATGTCAATGAAATTCTGCAGGTAAACAAAACCGGCAGACACAAAATGACGCTTTTTACTATGAAGGGACGACTGCGCTGGCTGATTGTTTGCCTGCTTTAGACAAACTATACATTTCGAGAATAAAGCGCGGCCGCGGCAGGAAAACAAGGTGTTAATGCATCGCTCGTCACTTCAGGAGTAGGGGTGAATTAATTTAGCTAAACTGTGACATGGTCATCTTGCGAAAATATTACCAAAGATCTATGAGGTTATGTTTTCCCCTCTCTCTCTATTGGTAAAGCGCTGTCAACAAATATTTTTCCTCCATATCCCATAATGCACAGCGCATCCGCCTACGGCAGCTGAATTAGTCAGAAACTTTTTTTACCTTTTGCGGTTTGACCTGTTTTAATACGGATCATATTCTCACCACAAACGAACCGCTCCAGGGTTCGTTTGAAAGCGTACCGAGACCACCTCTTCAAGCAGGTCTCGGTACGCTTGTTTGGTCCGCTTTTGGTGCGCAATAGAGTATGATTGCTGCATTCTCACCTGCCCAAACGAACCGCACCAAGAGGGAAAACGAACTCTAGTGCGATTCAATCAAACTAAATAAGTCAGGAGTGAAAGCACCCTAAGTCGAAGCTCTCAGAAAATTCCCAGTTTACAAATTGAAATTACAACTAGTTCTCTAAGAACTAATGCATAAATTGAATGAATTACAGTAATTGTTACATGGTATGAACTAGACATGGGACAATAATCATTTTCAAGGTATACCATGGTTTGAAAAAGTCAAGGTTTTAAAACCGTCAAAATTTTCTTTAATACTGTTCCTAAGATGTGTTTACTTTTTTGTTTGTTTTTAGGACAACAGTATCTCCAGCAGAAAAGATATCCAAAGATGCTGTTTTAAATTGTAAAAAAAAACTGTTTTTGAAATTAATAAAGACAGCAGAAGTCAATAATTCATTTAAATTATTTAGCCTCACGTTTACACTTCCAAAATAGTTAAAATGTTTCTCAAAATAAAATATATTGTGTTCAAAAAGGAAAAAAAGTTCACACGGCTTTTGCGAATCGATCATGCTATTTGCATGTACATTTTTAGTTTACTCATTCATGCATGTAATTCATTGCTTCCAAGGCACGTCCTCAGCATTGACATTTTAATAAACCCATAGCCCTTATAACGAAACTTCATACCAAACTTTTTTTTTAATCGTCATGACAATGGTGTACAGTTAATAACACCGATACCAATTTTATCTCCCAGCAATAGTCATAATCACACCCCTACTAGAGTAAGCTCCTAATGTCTGCCAAAGTTCAGATTTTTAAACTTAAGCATGTAAAATGCCTAAAATGCTCAATTCGCACCATATCATTTACTTAACTTGTGCCGAGAATGGCACTGCAGGATGTCTGATCGCATCTAAGCATTGACCATGAACATGTAAATCACTCGCGCTTGACACTTCCTCCGTGTCTGGTGTAAATGTACCATTTATACTTCTTCGCTGAGTGTGTGCGGATGGTCCGGCTGTTTCCCCACACAGCTGCATACCCTTGACCAAACCCTAATGCACACCACTAAAAAAATGTAACTACACGTTGCGACGAGGCAGAGTGCAAGATCTGTGATTGGTTAGATAGGTAGTTATGATGAGTGTGAGCGGGGCCCACACTCATCTGCCAAACTGCGACCATGAAGTGAGTCCAGTGGCCGAGGAGTCTAACAAGTGTTGAGTCTCGTGGAGGATGGCGACATTTGTTTAGTGTACATTTTTTGATTAAAGTTGTAGAACATTTGCCAGTTCCCACCTCTGTCTTCCTTGAATGAGTGCAAGTTTGAGTTATTTCTTTAGAATTGCACACAAAACCCAAAACACTGGCAAATCTTAACACATTAGACATAGTAACCCCTCCTGCTACTGGTGTTTTTGGAGTTTTTATTTCCAGTGCAGTTCAGACAGAATGCTCGCACAGCGTGGGCTACATGCAAGGTATGCACCGTGGGGCATTTACTCGACACTTGTTCTTGGTTGTGGCCCACTGGGAGAGCCAGGCTGTGTTATCTTGATTTTACAGTCTGTTATTAATGTAAGTTTGCTCTCTTTTTATAATCATATGTTGTGATCATTTGGGCCTAATTGTTTTTTCCAAAAAACAGTTGCAGCATTGGTAGTGAAATGTATAATATCCTCAAGGGATGTTATCTTTTTTGTTCTGTTTTGACTTCCTTAAAATGTTGATTTATTAGTATTTTGTGTTTATTTCGATCAGTTTTGGACCAAGTTATTTAAGCAGTAAATTTCATCATACTGGCAATTCCCATGGTGATTTATTTTAACCGTTTTCCTGTTTTACACACAACACTAATCCAGTGTTGCTAAACAGAATGACTCCAAATAAAGTTGAAGTTTAACAGACTTCCCACACTCCAGTGGTGTTTGATCAGACCATGCTTCATAATTAACCCTTTTCATAACAGTAAGACCTTGATATGGACAAGATCTTTCCCACTCGGAAGCAATCCAGTCCAACAGACAACTCCTTTGTTTGAGCTTCTATTTAAAAACATTGTTTATGGACTTTGGACCATAATTGTTGGCCCTATGATGAACTGTTGCATATGAAAAAAGGGGAAATGGTGATAGTGGTCAGAAACTTGAAGTTGTGAATGAAATGTTTACAATAGAGAGAGACCTTAACTGGAGGTTGGTGGATGACCAATATATTTTGGGAGTTCCTTTGCAAAACAACAACAATATCTTATAGTTGTAAGGAAGAAGAGTTAAAGAGTTGGAAAAGAGAAATTCTTGATAGAAGTGTCTAACGTGTTTAAGCCAAAGATGAGTTAAAACGAGTGCAAGGAGATTTTTTTATAACCTTCGCCCCAGCCAGCTGCGGGATCTGCCAGAGCAGTGCAATTCTGCCATTTACATGTTAAAACTAGCACTGGAAGCTCAAGTCTGTTTTGACACCAACGTTTGAAACGGACGAGAAATGTGGGTTACTCCAAAGAAGTGAAGCTGTAGGACTAGTTTAGTCTGGTTTCATTTCTTTCTTAGAAATCATTGAAAGTACTTGCAATTTTGTGTTTGGATCTATTCTGACTAGTTTTAAAGTGTATACAATAAGGCAGAGTTAACCCCTAATTTTAAACTTGCAGTTAATTTACTCATGCTCATATAAAACAAAATATCATTAGAACATTAAGGATTTTTAGCTTAAAATGTACATGCTTGGTGATCGATCAACTGCTATTCATTTGCTGCATAGAGATGTTATATTAAAATGCTTATCCTTAATTCGACAACCTTGGATTAAAAAAAAATTGGCTGAAAACTTGAAACCAAATCATGGTGGATAACAGAATTTTATGACAGAAACATTTGACAAGCCAAACCTGACTATGTCAAGTATGTCAAGTGGTAAAAATCCCCAAAGGCTGAACATTTGAAAATGACCTACTATGTAAGACAAAATTATTAATTTGAACATTATGGGTGTGACATTTGGTATAAATTTCTTAAACAAATTCACATGGAATGTACTATAAATGAGACATTAAAATATTTGTTTGTGTTTGAAATAATAAACAAATAAGACTAGCCGCAGAGATAAGAGATCAAAACAATATCAATCTGTAAACATTTTTTATATTTAAATTGAGTAAAATTACCATGGGTTATGGATGTGACCAAAAACTTTAGCAAGTTTAGTGTATTCAACACACTTTGTAGAAATTCTGTGAATTAATCTACACAATCTAAAAGAAATAATGCTAATTAAAAGGACAAGAGTTTGCTCTCTGTAAAACAAAAAATATTTATTTTATTTTTAAAGTTTAAAGCTGGGACATCTCTCCATTACAGATGTGATTTTATTAAATCAAATTAATTCATTTTTAAATGTTGACAGAGTCAAGCTAAAAGGTTGATTTATACTTTTGCATCAAGCGCATGCGTATTGTCAAGTGCCGCCTTCGCATGGTTCTCGCCATAGCTAACACTGGCACTAAAAAATGTAACTACACCTAGCAACAACGCATAGCACTTAGTGGTGCTGACGAGTATGGGGAGTGCAGAGAGCTGCACGAATCCCCTAGAGCGAGTGTTTACAAGCGACAAGTCCTGTGAAGGAGCTCCAGTTGAGAAACTTTTGTTTCGTGTATTACCTTATTTCTACCCTACCGTATACCTTATTAAAGTTGTTGCATGTCCACCTGTTCCCACCTCAGAAGAAAGTGAATTTGAGCTACTTGTACATTAATGTAGCAAGAAACACGACACAGCCTAAAGTAATTTTACAGTTTTGAAAAATACAAGACTACACAAATAATTTTGCTAATGCTATGTTCACACCAGACACTCTTTGCGTGGATAAATCAGGCTATTTGTGTGTAAAAGACGCATGAACATTTGGAGTTATCTAGCATCATTCACACGTCAAATTCGCTTTATTCGCACGTCAAATTCACTTCATAGTTGATGCAGATTTGCGTTATGGGCAGGGCAGGGCTTCTGTCTGCACGGTGACTCCAGCTTCATTGCTAAATGTCTAACATGGATTTTATTGAGATAGTAGCTGTGCTTTATGTGGTTTAGGAATGCTGATAAACAGCATATATTGGTTTGGTGCCATGTCTGAATCCACTAGATCCTTTCAGTGGCGCATCCAGCTCTGTGAGTTTATCAAGTCCTCCAGAAACTATACCTGGATGATGGGTGTCTATTCATATCTTTGCAGTGACTTAACGTGAATCATTGGCGCTTGACGCTTCATGTGCATCTGGTGTGAATGCATCTTTAGGGTTTCACTATTTTGGTGAACACTTTTTTTTTCATGGGAAGGTTAATATTTGCTTAAGTCTGTTTTACTTTTTATAGTCACAATTTAAACACGGGAAAGATTGAAAATTACTTGTGCATTAATTACAGCTAATGACAGTCACGTCATTAGTCACATCTTTCTCATTTTAACGTGTCCCTCTTTTTTGTTGTTGCAGGAAATCTAAAACGAAGCCCAATGGAAAGAAGGCACCTCCTGAAGAAAAAAAGCACTATTTGGAGCCAGAGTACACAAAAGTGCGAGTTGCGGACTTTGACCTGAAAGATTTGGTGGCATTACCCACCAAAGAGATAGACCTCAACGAATGGCTTGCCAGCAACAGTGAGTTCACCACTAAAAATGATCAACTTTCATTTGTGTTTACTGTATTTTTAGACTTGGAGTTGTTGATGATGTTCAGATATAACCTTTTGTTAGTAGGGAGTTTAGGATATCAGTCAGATTTTAGTGTGTGTTTGCAAAATATTGTGAGCTAAATTTTTCACTGAGCTCTACCTTAATCCTTGTACAATATTTGAACAAAATGTGTTTTTTCAGACATTTTTACATTTTCAGGGACCTTCACTTTATAATCCGATCCATTTCAATTACAATTCTGGGAGTCATGATAAATTTCCAAAACAATTCTTGACCAACATTTTTTTCCCTGCATCTGTGCATAGATCTTTACATTTTAACCACAATTGGAGTTTCTGTGCTTTTGTTTATGATTTGAATGCATGTACAAAGTGTTTGCAATAGTAATGTATAAATGCTGAGCAATCAAAGCTTACTTTAAGGTGTAAATATTACTACAGTAAACCTCAAACTCTGTAAACAAAACAAATTATGATAATCAAATCTGAGCTTTCAAATAAAGAAATTAGCCATCATTATTCAAATACATATTGCAACATTACAAATTGTGAAGTTGGATAACTACATTACCACTATGCTAAAACTCTTTCAGCTAGGGTGCTAGTGGCTGGGATGCACAAGAAAAGAAACCAAAAAGCCTCTATGGCGACATCCTTACTGTTTTTTTTATTTACAATCTCCTCACTGCTGCTTGTCACAGCATTCATTTTCATGCGTGTTGTTATTCTGATCTGAAGTGACAATGATGCAACCCAAAACTCACATGTGAAAACCACAAGCGTGTGGTTTCCTTGACTATTTTTAATGCGCTCGCGCTCCCCTTGCGTCACTCGTAACTAGGCGGCCATCAACCGTTTTCTCAGAACATGACAAACAGACAAACCATTGCTGCTGCTCTATTACAAGTGTATGGAGAAAAGTAAAAAGTGCTGCATAGTTTGGATGCGCTATGTTTGTCTGAGGTAATTAGTCTACCGTTATTACTGAAATGTGTATATTCCATACAAAGTGTGAAGCAGATTTGTTAGTTTTAGTTAGTGTTAGTTTCCTCCACACTACTACCAGTGTGCAGCATTCACTTGGATGATGTGACGGCAGCCACAGGACAACAGGGCCAGTGCATTCACCACACACCAGCTTTTGGTGGAGTGGAGAGACGGTGATAAAGCCAATTCAATGGATGGTGATGATTGGGAAGGCATGACCGTAAAGGTCAATCACGTGAATTTGGTCAGGACACCGGGAAAAATGAAAATTCTGTTATTAATTACTCAACCTCATAGCAATCCAAACTTAAAAGACATCTTCAGAGCATTAATAAGACATTTTAGATTAAATTCATTGAGCTTTTGGATTCACCGTAGATGGGATTGGTTCCAAGACGTTCAAGGTCCAAAAAAGGGGGCCAAGAATAGGGTAACACTTTATAATAACTACACACTATGAATCATTTATTAAGCATTAGCAAATAGTAAATTTATTATCTGTTAAGCATTAACTCTACATTAATAAACGTTAGTAAGAAGTTTATAAATGCAGCTACAAATGCTATATTGTTGACTTATAACCACATTTATAATGTGCTTAATAATTGTACTTTCATACTTTAATGATTTATTTTTCATTACTAAACTAAGTATTGCATTATTTACAAACCAGTTGTATTTAAGAGTTGTTGGCGTTTTTTAATAAAAGATTAAAAAAAGATTGAGTTATGTTGACAACGTGTGTGTTATTGACAAAAAAATCACAGTTTTGCAAGCTCTGCTATGTACGTATTAGGGTTCGTCCGATAGGCAACACCGGCATCGCGATCCTCCGCCTGTCCCCGTTGCAAATCCGCTCGCGAAAAGTACACACTTAGGCCCTGTTTACACTGTCTTTGTTTTTAAATGGCATTTTAGAACGACAACGATTTAACATCCACAGTGGCGTGTAGCGTTTCTGAGCGGCCCTCCTTCCTCTCTACCTCTAACACACACAGACACAGACGCACACACACAGCCATGGGCTCGAGACAGCGGGTTCAGGCAGTCAGAGGATCAATAGACTGCTTCAATCTTTCACTCACTTGTACTTAGTCATTTTAGCGAATACCTCAGATACTGTTGGCTGGTTCCTGTTGGTTGTGCGTCTTTTTTACCGACGCCATTATAACGACACAGATCACTGCCTATTCACGAGTCCCGCAGAAAAAGTGATTGACAGGTGGTAATTATGTGTGTATCTTGCCTTTATTCATTTACTGTATGATTTGTTTATGGGTAAAACAAAGACCACGCAGGTCAGGTAGTTTAAAAGGTAGGCTACAAATAATTAATTGGTCATTAATTAATTAATTATTCATAATCGAAAATCGAATCGAATCGTGCCTTTAGAATCGAAAATGTAATCGAATCGAGGATTTGGAGGATCGTGACACCCTTATTGATTATACACAGCTACTCAGCTAACATAAAAACAACTGTCATATTTCCTAGTTCCTCTAAAAGGCCCGCCCATAAGTGACTCTGATTGGTCATTGTCATAATGTGCTGCTATTGGCAGATCGGCTCCACGTCACGCCCGTAAAAGCACGCGTTTTTCTGCTGTGTAAACATGCAGTCAACCTTGCGCCCGCTCTCTTTTCTCTGATGCTCGGATTAAGTTATTTTCTGTAATATATCGTGACAGAAGAATAAAGCACAAGATGTGAGATGCTACCTGTTGAGCCTTGATTTATTATTCTGCTGCGACCACGAGTCAGGTAAGCTAATCTGTATTTTTTTTTTTAACTCTATGCGTTATGACGTCTTTCACGAGTATCCGGAATATGCAGGTGTAAGTAATATGAATGATCCACATATCTTTTGCGACATCATTATATGAGATGTGAAACACATGAAAAAGCTGCCTGAAGACAATCAGTGCAGTCGCGCACACACAAAAGAGACCGTGCTGGTGAAGTGAGTGTGTGTGTTTACAGGAGTTTGGCTGATAAATGTGAGTTTGTAGCTAAATCGTTTGCCCGCAAAGCAGCATTTCGCATTGTTTACATCATTGCTACAGCATACCGTTAACACTAGACACTGTACATGTCATGATCAATTTTAACAAATAAAAACACTTACTTGTAGATCACAACTTCTGCTTTGAGGAGTTTTTAGCCGAATCCAGCACTGAACTGGGAGAGATTCTGGAACTGTTTTGTCAGATCATGCTTGCTGATTATTTTATAATTCTCTGGAAGATAATTAATATTGAACTAAAGACACTTCTGTCTTTGTGTTGTGTCCTTTGGAAGCCCAAATAAAGAAATAGACGAAGCTCTGTGGAAACAGCTGTGTTTAGACGCATTTTTAGCTTCATCTCTGCTATAACGTTACAGCACCTCTGGCCACGGCCCTTACCTGCATGCGCAGTAAACTAACTTGTGATGTCACAAGTATTTTTTTGTAGTCCCCAAATTCGTTCATTTTAGGCTTTGCTAAGCTAACTCTGTAAAAACCAAGGTCTCCCTTAGCATTGAACTTAGAACTTTTTACATTCAGAGATGTTGTTTATGTTCACACAGCTACATTACACATCAACTAAAGTTTAAAATATGAGATCGTAGTGGACCACCCCTTTAAATTATTACATTGTTGTTGTTTTATCCAATTTTATGTTGTATTTTGACACTCGTGTTATTCAGCAATGTTTAATATTTACAGTAATTATACTTTTCATATGAGATTGCAATGATTATTGTACGTTTGATACCGATTATCATTTATAAGGGATTTATAAAGCATAAATAATCACTCACTTTAGATAATCCAATCTCACTTTAGATTAGGTCACAAAAATGCTGCATGGTAACCATTAATATATGCCTGAATAATATGTAAAAACCTTGATTTCAATAGATTATTCATCATTTACTATCTCATTCTGAATGATCTTAAAAACCTCCAACTACTCTTCAATACAAATGGTTTGTAAATAATGTGATACTTCATTTAGTAATGAAAAATAAATCATTAACTAAGTATGAAAGTACAATTATTAAGCACATTATAAATTTGTTTGTAAGTCAAGAATACAGCATTTGTAGCTGCAGTTATAAACTGCTTACTAACGTTTATTAATGTGGAGTTAATGCTAAACAAATAATGAATTAACTAGATGCTAATGCTTAATAAATGGTTCATAGTGTGTAGTTATTTTAAAGTATTACCAAATAACTTTGTCTACGTGTTTTGTGTCAGCAGGTCAGGGTGCACATTAACTTGCGTGTCGCGCTGCTATCTTTTAACTTCTATACATTGTACTAAGACTATATATAGGCAAAGTCATATCTAAAAAAAATTTGGATGCACAAAAGGGTTCTTGGAGCTTTACATGGTTACAGTTGGACCACTGAAATCCACTGTATTGTTGGTTGCATTCTTGATGTTTGTTTCTGTCTATGGAGGATGAGGGAGCTCTCTCATTTCATCTAAAATATCTTAATTTGTGTTCTAAAGATGAACAAAGGTCTCAGGGAGATATATATAATTTACATTTTTGGCTGACCTGATCCTTAAGCTTTAGCTCCATAATTGTTGGTTTCTCAACTAAAAAATTTCACAGAATATGAACATAAATATGAATTGCTGTGACAAGGGAAATGTTTAAAAGTGACAAGGGAAATGAGTAGTTGGTAAGTGCTGCTTATTGACTTGGGGGTTATTTTGACACTTTTAAAAAAGCAGAGTTTTGGGCACTTGAATAATTAAATTTTGTTAATTGTGTAATGTGCAGTACATTCTGTTGATATCTATATACACAATTGTAATGCATTCTGGAATACCCTATTGATATACTATATTTCATGGTTTCCGTCACATTCATTCTTCCATGGCGGGGCGCCACGCCAAAATTCATCCCGCCACGGCTACATTACAGCTTCTCATTCAAAACATTTTATTTTTTTAATAGCGGGTAGTAATCGCACCAAAACGTAATAATGGGTAAGTGAATTATAACAGCGCAAACTTTTCTGTAACCGTAGTAGTGCTGTGCGTCATTTGTTTACCCCCTTTAAGGTTACGTGCTGACTGGCTGACTGACAGGTGCGTGATGCGTGAGGCAAGCAAACACGACATATAGCCATTTCACTTTACTTCAGGGTGCATTAATATCGCTCTGTAGGTTTACTTGAGAGACATTCATAAATATTCCTCGCAAATCTAATAAATGCAGGAGACATGCTCGTTACATAAATGCAATAAATCTCACTTCAGCAGCATTTATTTGAGAGCGCACAAGATCTGCGCGCTCTTGAAGCGGCTTATATTTGAGGGGACATGCAAAAAGTTTTGTGCACGAGCAGAGGAAATCAGCGCGCAAGCAAAGAGATCCGCATGCTGTAGGCTATTACATAAATGCGATCTCAACTTCTAATACTACGCTCATGACATTTGTCATTGAAGTAATGCCACAGATAGATCTGTGTAAAAAAAGGCCTGCCGCCACAGCTGGAAAAAATCCTAGAGGAAACACTGTATTTTAGACAGACTCGCACCATGAGATTGACTATGATAGCCTTAAAATGCTGTCTTTTAGTGTACTCAATATGTTTTGTAGCAGCCATTGTTTTCAGCTTTAGTGAAATATTACAGAAAGATTACTAAAAGACAACTTTTTTTGTTTGTTCTATGCAGCAACAACCTTCTTCAATCTCATAAATCTGCAGTATAGCACAATCTCAGAGTTTTGCACTGGGGACACATGTCAAGCCATGACAGCCTATAACACGTAAGTCCTTTCGTTTTTGTCTCTTTCTTTCTTTCTTTCTTTCTTTCTTTCTTTCTTTCTTTCTTTCTTTCTTTCTTTCTTTCTTTCTTTCTTTCTTTCTTTCTATCTTTCTTCCAAACATACCTCCAAAATGGTCCTTATAGTAACTATCGTCCTTATATAGAAACTGCTTCTAAATCAGATATTTCTTTAATTAACTTCTTTTATTTTTATCCCATTTAAATTCATCGCAGATCAGCTCACTGACTTTCATAAGAATCTATGTTTCTGGGTCTGATTCGGCTTAAAGCATGACTGGAATGAAAGCTGACACACATTTTACTTGAAGCCAGTGCTTGTTTGCATTTCAGATGTGTTTTGAACAAGAAAATACAAAGGAAGTATTCTCAGAATACATGTTTTGTAAGTCTGTTTGAGACGGAACCAATTAAATGGCCTCAAAGGCCTAAAGATAATAATTTCCACTGGCTGGTAAGTTGTTGACAAGATCAGGGGCAAAATTGAAAAGAAAAGTGAGACTTGGGGTAAATCAATTACATTTTTTGTGACAGAATTTACGCTGCAGCTTTAAGAATCCTTTATAGAACGATGATGTAGCCAAAAATTGTAAAGTTTCAAACAATCCGCCATCCAATTTAACACTCTAATTTACACATCTGCTAAAAACGCTGTAGTCAGGTATATGTAAAAATTGTAGTGTGTGTAAGATGTGTTTCCACTGTTTGTTATTATGTGAAGCAAATCCACACTTTGCAGATGAACCTTTAGCAAACCCTTGAGCAACAATAACACTAGCACGTACTCTACCATTGTTGTGTGTTTGTTCGCTCTTGCCTTTAATCTACACCTCCCTAAACACATACCATCATCCTTTTCATCGTTTCGACTTTCATTTTCAGGTGTTTACATGGACATGACAGACAGCAGCTTTGTAATAAAAAAGTTTTCATGAACTACTTTAAGGCCGTTTCCAGATTTTTGTGCTTTTAGTTTTAAAAGCACTGTTGTCATGTAAATGAACAGGCAAAATCCAAAAAAGGATTCCAGTATTTTGGCTGAAAAAATTTCGTATAAATGAGCCCTTAGGGCTCTTGACTGACTGTTTTGCACATTTGATGATGATTATAATAGTTAAATAATGATAAAAATAATCACTGTGGGCGTCATGCTGGCACAGTGGGTAGCATGATCATCTCACAGCAAGAAGGTCGCTAGTTTGAGCCTCGGCTGGGTCAGTTGTCATTTCTGTTTAGAGTTAGCATGTTCTCCCTGTGTTTCCTCTGAGTGCTTCGGTTTGCACAGTCCAAAGACATGCGCTATAGGTGAATTGGGTGAGCTAAATTGTCTGTAGTGTATGTATGTGTGAGAATGAGTGTGTATGGATGTTTCCCAGTAATGGGTTGCGGCTGGAAGGGCAATTGCTGTGTAAAGCATATGCTGGATAAGTTGACGGTTCATTCTGGTGTGGTGACACCAGATTAATAAAAAGACTAAGCCAAAAGGAAAATTAATATAAAAATGTACAATATAAATAAAGTAACTATATAAAACATTAATAAAACTTTTTCTTTTGTTAATATTTATATTTATTTTTCTTTATTGTTTATTTATTTAATTTACATATATTTAACAACTTACATATTGTTGCTGTTATGAATATAAATATAATAGAGATAATCTTTTTTTTCTATTTACAACAGTTAATTTAAATAATAATGCAGTAACAACAACTTTTGTTGTGATATTAATCAAACATATACATACTTCTATTAATTATTATCCCTTGTTTATTAATTAGGAATGTTTAAAATAAGTATTCATGATTTGTTATAAAAAATAAAAAAAAAATTGAACATGCCATCATTTTTCGCAGAAAACATTTCTAAAGATGCTGTTGACTTTACACCAGCTGTTGGTAACAACCAAAGAATTCCATTTATGCAAATAAAACTAATTTAATAAGTTCACAAATTAAGTTATCCGAAATATGACACAGGGAAACTATGACACAGGGAAAAAGTGTTAAACACATGAAGAAAGAGAAATATAAAAAGGTAGTGAAAGCCCAGACAGCAGCTGAAATCTCTCAGTAGTTCTTCAGCAACCTTCTGTCCTTCCTCATTGTAAGTTAATATTCACTGCTTCAGTCCAACATCTACATTAGCAGGATGATGAAAATGAAACCAGGGTGGATATTTCAGCATGACAATGATCCAAAATACAGCCAAGAAACTCTCAAATGCTTTCAGAGAAAGAAAATTAAGCTGTAGAATGGCCTAACCAATCCCCTGATTTGTGATCTAATTCTCTTTAACTATTTTTATTAAATAATTCAGCCTTATTCATTTGACCAAATCCATAGGTTTTAATCATATGCAGCGGTCTTTCAGAAAATTTTCCTAACGTTAGAAATCACCCTAAAGACATGTACATTCCCACAGGTAACAGTGTTGACTTTTTAAAAATGTTTGCTTAACCCGTTCACCCTGTTTAGTCGGCACAACGCCTGGGTGTGAATCGCTGAATTCACTAACTGACCCTGTAAAACCAGATACATGACTATTCATTGCAGAAGCTAAAAGACAAGAATTAGCAACACACAAAAAGCAAACAATTACGTACTCACCCCAGGCATACCACAAAGGGCAAGGATGGGTGCGCTTGTCCAACCGCAAGCCGCATTTTCCATCACCTCTGGTTTTCAGTTGATGAGAAGACACAGGAAAGGGAAGGGACTGTGAAGCACACATAAATGTGATTACTATGTTTCATTTTCATTTATTTATTGTTGATGCTTTTAATAGTATGCCTATACACAGGAGAAAAAGTATAGAAGCTTTTTTTTGTAGCTTATATTAAAATTTAAATTAATGGAGAAATGATTAAACGACTAAGGGGCAGAGCACACAAAACATGATTTTACATTCCAAAAATGCGCGCCACACCGCCTTTTTTTGTGGAAGTGCGAATTTTTATTTATTTTATTTTTTCTTACGTCACCAGGCAGTGACTGAATCAGCTGCGTATTGTGTTTGAATGTTGCTGTTTATATTGTTATTATTGTAATATTTAATATTATTGTGATATTTAATGTTTGTAAAGTAATACAGCTCTGGATAACTTAAAACAGTGGCCACTAGTCTCTCCACCATCTTTAGAAGTCTCTGTAGTTGTCTTGACAACACAAACACTGCTGTCGCCTCAAAAATTCCCCGCCTCTGCTTTTATTTGATTGGAGAATAAACCTGATTGACGTAACACGCTTTTTCACTCAGAGTTTGCGCAACGTCAAAAAAAACAAGGCGCAGAAGGCGGTTAAATGCGAGGTGCGTAGGGTGCATAAGCAGCGTGCAAAACGCTCTCGACCGTTAGTAAATTATTCAATATAGGTGTCTCCCTATGTAAAAAGCACATTCGATGTGATTGACCCCTAGGAATAATCAAAGAAAATACATAATGGATTATCAGTCAATTAATAATTGTATAGTATTTTAAATAATAGTCTAAAAATAATTATGGTTATAAAATAATAATTAGTTATAATCAGAATTTGTAAAAACAAAAACTTTAATAATAAATAAATGAATAATAATAAATTAACTAATAAATAATTAACATAACTTATTTAAATGCGCTTCTCTGGATATTTTGTTGCTATTCTGTCTCTCAAAGTTAAGATCATTACAATTATAGACTAATACTTTCTTTGTCAGTGGGCAAACATACAAAATCAGCAGGGGATCATATACCTTTCCCCTCACTGTACACTGTATAAAAAAAAAAATAAATAAATAAAACGTAATTTTATGGTTTATTTCTGGCAGCTTGGGTGCCGGAAAAAAAAGTAAAATAACGGCCATTAAATTACAGAAATTTACTGTAAAATAATGGGCATCAAATTACAGAAATTTCCTTAAATTTACATATCTGGTAAATTTCTGTTATTTAACCTCTGTGTCTTTACAGTAACTTTCTGTAAATTAATGGCCATTATTTTACTTTTTTTTTCCAGCACCCCAGATTTTTTTTCTTTAGTATATATATATATATATATATATATATGTTATTATTATTATTATTATTATAATTCCCACAATATAATTTTAGGAGAATTGTAGATATTTATACATTTATTTGTTTGACATTTCAGAAAATCACACATAAAAAGGGCTCTAAATACATTTTTGCAGTGATGCCATAAAAACAACTTTTATTGTTCGATTTTTAAAAGAGAAAAAAACATTTTTATATCTTAAAAGACATTTTTATTATATCTACTTTTACTATAAAGAGCTTTACGTGGAATATTCTTCACAGAACCACTGATGCCAATATAGAACTTTTTTTTGTCTGTATTTTGTATCAGACAAAATACTATAATCCTACTATATATATCTTCTGGAGAACCTCTTGTTTTCTTACAAAAATGTATATATAAAAATGCTGAAGTCAATATTATAGTAGATCCCTTGAATTTCTTTCAGTTGTCTACAGAACAAGCCACTGTTGCTCAATGGCAACCTAACTTGCCCAGTTAACCCAATGTGTTAAATCGACAAAATGCACTAGTGTTTTGCAAATTACCTAGTAATATATGTACTGCCATCATGGCAAAAACAAAAGAAATTGGTTAATTTGCTACTAAAACTATTATGTTTAAAATTCTTTATCATTCTAAAGGAAATAAAATAATTTTCTCTTCAACTGATACACTCTTGTATATTGTTTGTCAAATTAAGTTAGAATTAAACAGATTAAATAACATAAAAAGAGCAAAAGCAAGAGAGTAATCATAAAGAAATATCTTTAAAAAATTCTACTTGTATCTAATTTTAAATAAATTAAAAAAATGAATAATAGGTTTGTATTAAATTAAAAAGTTATTTTTATTGCAGTGTTGTTCTAATTTATCACAATCGCCAACAGTTGGACCTGCTCTTAGATCAGTAGCACGTCATTTATAGACATTCGAGAACATTTAGAAATTTGCGGGTTTTCCGATCACCATTTATTTGGCTGTCCATTCATCCTTGTTTACGTACCAGTTGGGCTTTAGTTTACCATGGCGGTTATTTCAGTTAAGGTTTAGTGGTTGAGTGGTTTTTATTTGGTTTGGTGTTTGAGTCCTGCTGTAGGGTCAGTTATGCGGACAGTCTGCATTCCAGGAGATTTGTAATGTCTACATTCCCTCGAACCCATGCTAGCCTCCCAAACTGACTTTCGTGATGCACAGTCCTTCTTAAAAAGGTGACGGCGGCTGCATTCCAGTTGCTTTAACAGTAAAGTGTTGAACATAATGTGTGTAAAAAGTGACTCACAAAAAGGTAAATTTCCCTGTTTGTCATCTTTTTTTCCACAGAATATACTACTGGTATGACGAAAGGGGAAAGAAGACAAAGTGCACAGCGCCTCAGTATGTCGACCTCGTCATGACGTTTGTGCAGAAATTAGTGACGGATGAAGAAATCTTTCCCACAAAATATGGTGAGTGTGTGTGTAATCGGTGCCCTCTTTTCGTCATAATGGAAAACTACGAGATTAGATCTTCTTGAAGTTTGATGTGAAATGTCCTGGACCACTGCTACCCTCCTGGGTTCATAATGTGCAATGAGCCTTGTGAATAAACATATATGTTTACTTTTGGCAATATTTATGCTGTTGTAAAAAAGATATATATATAATTAAACAATAATACAATAATAATTTATATATATATATATATATATATATGGTCTAACGAATCACAAATCTTTTAATTTTTTTAGTCATGGATCAGACCATTTTTTGGATCTGCCAAAGAGGAGACAATGTAATTTGCTTTCTATTTATTACCAATTACAGTACTGCAAGAAACTTTTTGGTTTCATAAAATAAAATAAAATGGAGAAATAATCAGCTGAGCAAAAATAAATAGTAAAATATTCAGGACTGTAAAAAATTCCCTTTTACTTCTACTGTTGCTGGTTATGCTAAATGTATAAATCTACCATCATCTTTTGTACAGCCCATATTTGTTTTTAATCAAATTTTCAATAAATGATTTGGTTATTCACTCATAAAACTTTGTTTCATTGCTAGATGAATAATTTTTTTAAAGAATTGAGTGGCATATTTTTTGATGGCTGGTTGTCGCCACCTATTGGTTAAATAATATAATTTCTGCCTACAACTTTCATTTTTGAGCATATGGCAGTAATTTTAATCTTTACCATAAACAACAGTGGTTTTATCTAAACTATAAAATGTTATCCCAGTACTTCTAGGTTATTTGACTTTTTGTAACTTCATAACTAAATCAAGCCTAAATACTGAATATCTTTCATGATTTTTGGGTTTCTCAAACACAAGTTTGATTCAATGCAGCGATTCAAAGGATTAATAAACATATGCAAATCACCATCATTTATAATTTATGTTGCGTGGGTGCTGAGATCACGATATTTTACTGATTAATCGTGCAGCTTACACTGAATGCATTAATGCAGGCTAAACAATTAGTGACAAAAAAACACCTTGAATAACCAAAGAAACCCACCACATCCTGAAAACCCGACCACAACTTCTTTCATCTTCATTATATTTACAGGAAAGCCTAAATGCTTTCATACATGTGATTTAAATGACGCGAGAGACGATCTTTCTGCAATCATTAATAATTTAGGATTAATCTACAAGTACAAAAAATGTTTGTTGTGATTCATACAAATCATGTATCGACTGTTCAACCTAGCCATTACAGCCCAAATATATACTATCAAGGACATTTTCTAAGTATTTGCGAAAATATTTTTTCTTCTGGATAAAAGTGCAATTCATGAGCCTCCTTAAAGTGATAGTTCACCCAAAAAATTACATTTACTCACCCTAAAATGAATTAAATTAGGGCTGAACAATATATATTTTTGAGCATGTCTATCCTAATCTACATATCCGCAATAATCTATTGTAGGATTAGATGAATTACTTAAGATTAAAAGATAAAGATATTATAAGATATATATATATATATATATATATTTTATTATTTATACTATTATGACCATGTTGTTACATTTGATTGTTCAATTTGTGTATTTGAAATCTCCCCAGAACACATTAAAACATTTATTAATTTTTCTTTGGCTTAGTCCCATTATCAGTCAGGGGTCGCTACAGCGGAATGAACCGCCAACTTATCTAGCATATGTTTTACACAGCAGATGTCATTCCAGCTGCAACCCAGTACTGGGAAACACTCATACACTACAGCCAAGTCTCGTTTATCCAATTCACTTTATTTAATTCTTGCTGTGAGGTGAAAGTGCTAACCACTGAGCCACTTCGCCGCCAACCATAAAACATTGTTTATTTATTTTTGCTTGTAATGTTGTGTTAGTGGTATGGACAAAGGATTTTTTTACTGATTGTCCTTAAAGAATGTCTGTAAAGGGTTCAATATCTGAAGAGGTTGTTTTGAACACTGGAGTACCCCTAGGCTGTGTGATATCACCTGCATTATTTTCGATGTACATAAGTGAAATGCATATTTCTGAAAGCAATATTACCCTATAAGTATGCTGATGACATGGACTGGCTGTGGTCGGACTTATGGTCAAAGGAAAAGAAGAAGCTAGAGTTGTGCGAGTCGACGAAAGTGTTTTGTCACTTATTGCTTTAAATACTAAGGAACTAATTATAAGAATAGGGAAGGGCAGCCTATATGTCATCCAGTTATGATTGAGGGTCAACATGTGGAGACTGTAAACTATTTTAAGTATCTGGGAATTATTTTTGATACTGGCTTAAATTTTGGTGAACATGCAGACTATATCTACAAGAAGGCAACACAGAGACTTTAAAAAAAAATGTTTTAATGTTAGTAAGAGTATTCTGAGGTAGGTTTGAGGTACCAGTCTGGTTGAAAGTATTATCTCCTATAATATTTCTTGCTGGTAAGTCTTGGAGCTAGAAGCAAGTAAATACTTGCAAAGATCATTAATATGGCTAAGATCATAATGGATCCCTAGAAGCAGCTTATGGAACTGTATACAAACCAGACCAGCCTTACAGATAGTTCAGCACTCAACTCATCCTCTTTATTATGAATTTTAATAGCTTACTTCCGGTTGATGATACAGAGTACACACAGCAAAAACAAATATTTTTAAGAAATCTTTAATACCGTCTGCCATTACCCTACTGAATAAATGACCATGAAGTAGATTGTATGTCTAGAGATGTGTGTTGGTTATTCTGTGGTGTAGGAAGCTTTGTGTTTGTGCTCTGTGTTTGTGTTTTTGTATGTGTGATGTTTGAGAGGCCAAAAATGTATTTCTTTATTTATTTACCAGATTCTTCCAATATCATGTAGCCCTAGTTCACTTTATCACAACTGATTAAATCTAGAAAAGTATGCTTACTGTATGACATTCATTTATAAAGAATTAAATAATAAAAAATGAAATCAATCAATTATACAAATATAATTGTCTCAATTTCTTTTCAGGCAAAGACTTTCCTAACTCGTTCGAGTCTCTGGTGAAGAAGGTCTGTCGGTATCTGTTCCACGTGCTGGCGCACATCTACTGGGCTCACTTTAAAGAGATTGTGGCTTTGGACCTGCAGGGACACTTGAACACACTGTACGCACATTTCATCGTCTTTATCAGGGAATTCAACCTGATTGACCCCAAGGAGACCTGCATCATGGACGACCTGTCGGAGGTGCTGTGCGCCCCGCTGCCCCCCACTGCACACAATCACGTCACCGAGAGATGAGCCTAAACGTCTCATTCATGAAGCTCCTCGATCAAAAAAAAAAAGGGAGGGGGGGATGATGACAAAAAAGTAAGGACAAGCCCCTCCATCACTACTCCTCAGCCTCTTGATAATCAAAAGGTGGGGATGAGGGCCGGTAGTCTGCAATTCTTGTACCAGCACAGATTGGTGTGAATGTTTCCTACAGGACAAAACAATCTGTCTCCATTGTCATTTATATAGGAACAAGTTATATTTTATTTTGCTTTTTTATTGTTATTATTATTGTTTTGCGCATGCGCTCTTGGAGTTTTTTTTATTATGATTTGATTTTAGGGAATGGTATTTCAGCTGCGCTCTCATCAGTGCCTTGGATATATAGCAAAGGTATTGTCTGTTTATATGCAACAATGTTTAGGAATTTATCATCGACCTCTGGCTCCCCCTTGTGGAGGGAGTGAAGTCCCAAACCGACTGACTGTTCGTAATCTCTGCAGCTTTATTTTACATAAAACTGTGACAGACTAGTGCAAAGTCTCGTGCATTTATATCCCAAGTCATCATCCACTTCCTATTTTTCCTATTATCCACTTCCTATTATTTTTACTTTTTAACCTTTCTTTTAATAATGGTGACATCGAAGCCTGTTTCTGCCACTGAATAATACTAATAATATATAGGCTTATGTATGTATGTATATATGTGTATATATATATATAGTCACAACTTTCTTAATGGAATTACGAGTGAAAAAGTCTGATTTCCAATATAAACTTGCTTCTGAGGAAAAAGTTTTGCTACTTAAAGACAATCGCAAAAGTCAAAATTGAGTTCTTTTCCCTCAGAATCAAGAGATGTATGATAACGTGAAATAGTGAGTTTTAACTTTTAAAGTCTGCTTGAACTAGAAGTTGCTGAGACTTGTTTGAGATAATTCAGTATGTTGATGCACTTCCACCTGAAACGGAATATTGAGTAGGGGGCGGGGCTTTCTACTTCTGCATCATTCATTCGAAGCAAACTAAATGTGAGAGGGGCGTGGTTAAGAATATTGTGGCTGAAGTCAACAACATGTTTTTTCCATGAATTAGCGTGCATGGATTAATGGGCTGTATGCACAGCTAGTGTTTTTCAGCCAATGATGAACATCCGGTGAAAGCTTTATGTGACTATTTTCAATTTCATAAGGTTCCTTTTACTTCATCGACTTTATAATGTTATTCAAATATAATCAATTGACTTAAGCACTCATTTGTTTTTTAAAGCGTAAAACGAGATGAAAGACCTTTTAAACGCAGGCGCTATCATTAGGAGCAGGCTAGCGTGAAAATCACTTTTTTAAAAGAAATCAGATCTTGAACGCAGCAATTTTCAATGGGATGACTATTATTCCTGCTAAAAAAAACTGCTTAAACCAGCCCAGCCTGTTTTTAAAGTGGTTTTGGACATCTCCAGGCTGGTTTCAATCCATTTGCAGCCTGGTCTTAGCTGGTCGAGCTGGAAAAAAAGACCAGCTACATACAGCTAAAACCAGCCAAACAGCTTAGGCTGGTTTAAGCAGTTTTTTTTAGCAGGGTAACCGGAAACCCTTGGGCTTGCTGACTGAAATGTTAAAGTCTGTGTGCATGTACTCCATTGTTCACCTAAGCAGGGGTGTCCAGACTCGATCCTGGATGGCCGGTGTCCTCGAGAGTTGAGCTCCAACCCTAATCAAACACACCTGAACCAGCTAATCAAGTTCTTAAGCTACGGTCACACTGGGCTTTTCCTCCCATAGACTTCTATTCATACGCACGTGAATGCGTCAAGTTTCACAGGTTGCTGCGGTGCAAAGTTCGAGCTTGGTGACCTCTGACCTGCGAAATCGCATTACTTGACTGCATGGGACCAATCGAGGATCAAAACATGATCGCTCTGGACAGAAATTTAAAACATGGAGCAATTGCTCGCTGTTTTTAAATGGCTAATAAGCTTGTTTAATCCCGCCCCTTTTCGCAGCGCCGCACGACAAAATATGGCATGATCAAGCATTAAGCTGCGGTCACACTAGAGTTTGTGTGAAATTTAAAAGATGGAGCAATCGCTCGCTTTTAAAAATGTCTATAGCTCCGGTCACACTGGGCTTTTCCTCCCATAGACTTGCATTCATACGCATGCGAATACGTCAGACCGGAAACGCAGGGTCATGCGTCAAGTTTAGCAGGTTGCTGCGGAGCAAAGTTCAATCTTGGTGAACTCTGACCTGCGAAATCGTATCACTTGACTGCGTGAGACCAATCAAGGATCAAAACATGACATCTCTGGACAGAAATTTAAAACATGGAGCAATCGCTCGCTTTTTTAATGCCTGAAAATCTTGTTTATTCCTAGCCAATTTCGCTGCGCCGCACGACAGAATTTCGCATGCTCAAACTCTTATGTGACTGCAGCTTATTAAGCTTGTTCAATCCCGCCCCTTTTTGTAGCGCTGCACAACAGAATAATGCATGCTTAAACTCTTATGTGACCGCAGCTTAAGATGTACTAGAAGCTTCTGTGCAGGTGTGTTAAAGCAAGTTGGAACTAAAATCTGCAGGACACTGGCCCTCCATTATCGAGTTTGGACACCCCTGACCTAAAGATTAACCAAACATATTAAGTTTTGACTTCACACAGACTTTGAAATCACAATTAGTTCACATTATCTTTTAAGAAATTCTAAGATACAAAGTAACAAATGTGTGACGATAACGGTTACAAGTTTTGAGAAAACAACCAGCCAAATGGTAATTTTCCCGCGTATTACATGGCTGCTAGTTAAAAAAAATAAATAAATAAACAAGTAGAGACAAAACACCTACCTTTAATCAAACGTAAAGGATGAAAAATGGCTCAATCCGTTCCGTATTATTCAGTCACAATATGGCGCCAAAAAGTCCAGCGGCCTCAGAGATGAGCTTAGAACTAAGCATGTGGATATACTCACTAACGGTCAGGATTTGAAGTACCCGGATGAGCTTGTGTTATTAGCATCAGCAGTTGTTATCTGTGAGTAATATACCTTGAAATGTTCTAAGTGACCAATCAGAATCAAGTATTTTACAATTAGCGTTTCTGAAAGGGAAAAATCCTAAATTGCAAGATGCTAATTGTGATTTAATATCTAAAAATTGCAGTTCTGAGAAAGAAACTCATAGCTGGGATTTAAAATATAAGCCTTATTTTATTATTCTGTGGCAGAAATTATCTGATGTTCCCAGTAATGCTCTTGGGGAAGTCTGGACTTGCTCTGTAGTTTTTTGACAAGGATATTAGCGATATCTGCTTCTCTGCGCCCTCAGAGAGATGCTGCAGACACTGACACATAATTGTTGCATGGCAGTAGACTTGCTGTGTTGCATTGATGAGAAAAGCACATCTCCAATGCTGAAACACTTTTTTTTTATTTCTCCCTTTTTTTCTAAATGATCAGAGGTCATGATTATTGTGGCAGCCCACTTGTGTAGAAAATGCACACTAAGTTTTTTTTCTCTCCAAGGAAATGAATTGTAACAATATAAAAAAAAACAATAATTGCCTTTAGTGAGAGAGCATCTCTCCTACTTATTTTATTTATTTTATACTTTATTTGCAGAGTTATTTGGTTCTTGCTTTCTTTTATGTATTTTAATTATCTAAGTTAAAAGCCACTCAATATTTTAAAGCTCTGCGAAATATAATCGAATAAAATCAAGAAATGCCATGTTACCTTAGTGTGTGTTGTTTATTTCTGAGGACGTTTTGGTTGAAACATTCTATAAAATATCCATAACGTCCAACCACCTCCAAATCACACCTGCTGATAGTCTCTAGTAGTCTTGAACACCTTAATTATTTGGATCAGCTGTGTTTGATTAGGGTTGGGGCAAAACTGCAGAGCTGCGGCCCTTCAGCATTTGAGTTTTAGATCCATGGTTTAAAGACTGTAACTTAAAATTTAATTTTGTTTGCTTTATTGCCAACTAACAAAAAACAAACTAAAATGTGAAATGTTTCAATGAAATGTAAAAATATCTTCTTTTTTTTGTACGTACTGTCACCCGAGATATAGCGGTCAATGCCGACATTAGTGAGTAAATAAAGGCAACAGCAGATTCTGCTTGACTAGTGTATTCAGCATTGAACCACACTGTGGTATAAATGTTTTTTTATTTTTTATTTTAATAAGTTAGCATTTAAAATTATACACTGTAAAAAAAAAATATATATATATATTTTACAATTTTTTTCTGGCGACTGGTAACCCCGTAAAATAACAGCCGTTAAATTACAGAAATTTACAGTAAAATAATAGATATTAAATTACAGAAATTTACCAGAAATTTAAATTCAAGGAAATTTCTATAATTTTATGTCTGTTATTTTACGGTATTTTTTGTAATTTAACGGACGTTATATATATATTTATTATATATATAATTTCTTTTTTTTAATTTTGTAATTTTTGTAAAAAAAAAAAATAAAAAAAACTGTAATTTTTCTGTTTATTTCCGGCAACTGGAAAAAGTTTAAAATAATAGCAGTTAAATTACAGAAACTTACCAGAAAAATAAATTTAAGGAAATTTCTGTAATTTAGTATCCGTTATTTAACGGTATGTTTCTGTAATTTAACTGTCGTTATTTTACTTTTTCCGGCACTCCAACTGCCGGAAATAAACCGTAAAATTATGGATTTTTTTATAGTGCAGTTAATATGATTTAAAGTAATGTCTTGATTTATTTTTAACTTTTAGGCCCATCATACAAAAAAGCGTGGGCATCCCTGGCATAGAAAATACTATTTTGTTTTCCAAAGACCCTGAAAAGTTCTTTCAAAAACATTTTTTATTATGAGATTTTTTATGAATCATAATCTTTTGTGAAAAGAAAAGGTAATGTCTTAAAGATTCTTTAAATTGTTATCAACGCTGATAAAGAACCTTTTAAAGCAGGGGTGCCCAAATTCAGTCCTGGAGGGCCAGTGTCCTACAGAGTTGAGTTCCAAGTTCCAACCACAGCACACCTGAAACAGCTAATCAAGCTCTTTTTAGGTAGCTATATCACAAACTTCCAAACGTGTGTTAAACGAAATTTGAGCTAAATATGCAGGACACCTGTCCTCCTCTGAGTTTGGGCACCCCTGCTTAAGAGTGTAGCAAGTAGTGCAGCTTTAAACACCATTTATGACCGGAGTATTCTGAAAAACGCTGACGCAATGGGCGGTTCATCCAAAAATGACAGTTCTGTCATCATTTAAGTTACTCACCCATGACTTGTTGGGACTTTCTTCCTTCTGTTGAACACAATGGACTAAAAGGTTGGCTGCATATGCGTTTCTACTATGACTATCATTCATCCTTCATAATTTCTTTTGTGTCTCAGAAGAAAGAAAAGTTTACCGCCGTGTCAGTAATTTTTGGGGCGAATTGTCCGTTTAATACTGTGAAACAACAGCAGAAATTTCAGCACTACTTTGCATGACCACACGATGGCAGCCTTTCTCAGTGAAATAGCTGTGATGCACGGCGTTTGTTTACTTATTTGAGCATTAGACTCGTTTAGGCCAAAATCTGCACAGAACCGATCACCAGTTATTACCGCAAGATGCATGCCGGTTAAAAATGCGTCCGCGTTGCTTTCGCCTCGCTCTGATGTCACTGACGTGCGTCTAAAAACTCGCGACGGTGAGGCGGGTGCCTCGGATTGAGCAGTCGGCAGCGGTTGCTCTCCAAAGACTGTGCTCGCAAAAAGCATGATGGGAAACGACTGGCTGAAGACACACTTATTGGATGAGACTGATAAATTACACCTTATTCTTTTTCTTGTTTTTACTAAGGTTTATACTTGGCTTTGTTGAATAGCCTACCTTTTTTGTATTTTCGTTGCTAATAATAAAAAAAGAGTATTACATATAGTTATTTTTTTAAATTTACACGTAAACAAAAACAAAACACATATTTGTAAAAACAACGTGACCTATCTAATATAACTAAATGTTACTAGTATGTGCATGTGTATTATATTTCTCTCTCAGTTTAAAGTCCTGTTTGTTGTCGTTTTCATTTTTTTGTATGTTTGTGTGAATTTTGTATTGTAATTTTTATGCATTTATTTATTGAAAGTCAATCCAATTCACACATACATGCATATACATACAAAGGTAATCAGACTGCTTTGCCATTATGCCTCATCTTTGTGTGGTTTCATATGAAAAGTGAAAGTGGTGTAGTAAACAAAACACACACACACACACACACACACGTGTAGTCAAAAGTCATGTTTAATAGACCAAGAACATTTTCACAGTCTTTCCTACAGTTGCATTTTTTTTTTTTTTGGAGAAACTCTTAGGCTGTTTATTTTAGTCTGGCTGGAGTTTATAAAGGCCTGATAAGCATGTCAATATAACAAAACCCCTTTAAGAATTTCTTTATGTCAAACAAACATTTGTCATGACCTGTCACTCAAAAGCATCTTGCTATAGCTATTTTTAAAATGTAGCCAAATGAGACTTCTTGAAAGCTTTCTTGCTGTATAAGCTGTTTATTTAGTCATTCTTTTAACATTTGTTAAATATACAAATTTATATTTTAAATACACCCTTTTAAGCAATGAGCTGCTCATCTACTGTGATTGTGACCATCTTTTTGTAAAAACTGAGATATTTCAATTGCATCCACTGCCACATTAAATAATAGCTACTACAGTAAATTATAGGAATACTGAAGTGTTTTGAGCCATATTAATAGCCGGGCCGAAGCTAGTAGTGACGCAGTAGTGCTGTCGCCTCACAGCAAGAAGGTGGCTGGGTCGCTGGTTCGAGCCTCGGCTCAGTTGGCGTTTCTGTGTGGAGTTTGCATGTTCTCCCAGCGTTCGCGTGGGTTTCCTCCGGGTGCTCCGGTTTCCCCCACAGTCCAAAGACATGCGGTACAGGTGAATTGGGTATGCTAAATTATCCGTAGTGTGTGAATGTGTGTGTGAATGTTTCCCAGAGATGGGTTGCGGCTGGAAGGGCATCCGCTGCGTAAAAAGTTGCTGGATAAGTTGGCGGTTCATTCCGCTGTGGCGACCCCGGATTAATAAAGGGACTAAGCCGACAAGAAAACGAATGCATGAATCAAAAAAGCCTATTTAAATTCTATAGTTGCTCTGGTATCGCAACAATAAACATAACCCAATACTGAAAAAACGTTCAAAAACACTATAATATTTACTATAAATCACCATAGTATTTTTTCATGAGGTCATTCGTCTACGATAAAAAACGTTAGTGCAATCTCCGTCACTGGTGACATTTCCAGGTGGCAAAACAGCGAGATTCGGGAAGTGTCCGACTTGACTTCTGGTGTAATTTTTGAGCCCTCCTCTTACTGCAGCCACCTGCTCTCGTTTACATTGCAGTCAAGGCGAGGCGCACCTCAAACGAGCCTAACTTGGCTCATGAATATTAATTAACCTGACTAAGACGGTTGCCAAGCAACGTTGACACGTGCTAATTAAATTCTTAGCAGCATCCGGAGCACCAAAATGTATTATCATAAAATAAACCAAGTTAGACTGTAGGAAAACCACCCATGTGAAAACCATAGCAAAGCCCATTGCTATTTATAAAATGTTAATATGTGGCACACATCTAAAACATGAGCAGTACTAATAAACAGGCTGCTTTATATAATAAGGCAAGCATAAAATATTCATTTTATTAAACATCATGCGCATTTCCATTGCATATGCAGTTATTCAATACCCTGAGAGCTTTAATCAAACGAGCATAGCCTCACTAAGAGATCTTTTTATGAAGAAAAAAACGTTTTCAACAGTAAAATATAGCCAACAATCTCTCTATAATAATGCTCTAGTGTTTATACATACAAACATAGTATTTCCCCATTACCTCCTGAGATCTGCTTATTTATTTGGCCACAGTAGTGGACATGTCGGTTTTGTTGATATCAATAATAAATGATTTTAATAATGCATCTTAAATGAGAGAAAGACGAAAATGAATTTTCTGTCATCAAAACAATAAACATAATACAGATAGTGTCCTTTTTTTAAATGTATTTTTCTGAGGAAAAAAGTAATACAAATAATATTGACTAGAATAAAAGTTTATTAAAAAAATAACAATAATTGTCAGGCACATTTTTAGAAGAATCGTTTAATGACACATAAAAAAGGTCATAGTGCCCCCCCCCCCCCCCCCCCCATGAAAATAATTATTTTAAATCATTCAGATTTTTTTTTTCAACAAAACGTTTTTAATAATTTTAAGCGTAATAAACGTTAGCATGATCACCTTCTTTTATGTATGCATTTATAGCATATGTTGCTTATAGTTTTCTTTTTACATAAATATATCTATTAGTCTGAGTGATGTTGGAAGATTCACTCATATTTGACATTTAATTTCCACATCATTTTTAAAACATGAAAATAAACATGTGTATTTAAAATGTTCTGTATGTAAAAGCACGTGTACATTGATTGTATTTGATCGCCAAAATGCGAATCAAACCTGATATAATTGATCATTTAATTTTTTATTAATTTTAAGACAATATAAATCGATCTCTGATTTACATTAAACATGTTTAATATATCAAATTGCGGAGATTTATTATTTGAAAAAAAAAATCTATATTTAAAAAAAACTTTTGTCGTGTCTCAGGAGGATAATGATAGAAGCAAGTCACATTTCTTTGGTGTTTGGGTGTTTGACTCTTCTCCTCACTGCTGCGCATGCGCCGCTGGTCTCCTGCAGTTTGAACCTCTCCATCCCTCCCGCTTCCTCGAGAGTCCGCGCACTGCTGTTCGGCGTCGCCACTTTAACCGTGTTTCCAAACTTCGAGTAGTCCACAGCATACATCCCGTCCTCCTCAGACACCGTAGGCACAAACCTATGACCCCATAAAATCTCCTCGGACAGGTAAGAGGTCCTCGCTTGAGTGGTGATGCCGGTGGTCTCCACGACCCCTTCCAGGACGACAATCACCTCGATGTCCTCATGCAGTAAATCGTCCGCGGACAGATCATACAGAGGGCTGTTTTTGTCAATGGTGTGACTGATGATGAGGGGGGACACCAGAAAGATGCTGTTGGTTCCCACCGGGTTGTCCATCTGGATGTCTATCTGGTCCAAAGGCACCATCTCGCCTTCGCTGGTGACGGTCTTTCTTACCACCTGCATGTGGACGGTGGCACTGATAATCATGCTCTTCCTCAGGTCACCAAGGCGAAACATGAAGCACAGCTTGTTGTTTCGGACAGTTATCACCGCGTGTTTGCTGAAGATGAGCGTTTCCGCTCGCCGGTTTGCTTGCGCCGTTTTCATGAAGATGCATCCTAACATGATGGCGTTTATCACAAGACCCACTATGTTCTGAAGAATAAGTATGACGATGGCCGAAACGCATTCCTCCGTGATCATCCGTCCTCCGAAGCCGATGGTCACCTGCACCTCGATGGAGAACAGAAAGGCGGAGGAGAACGAGTGGATGTCCGTTACGCACGGCACAAAGTCCTCGCCTTTCAAATCCAGGTCTCCGTGCGCGAAGGCGATCAGCCACCAGATCATCCCGAACAAAAGCCAACTGCACAGGAAGGACATGGTGAAGATCACCAGAGTATGAAGCCATTTCAGATCCACCAAAGTGGTGAACACGTCCTGTAGAAACCGTCCCTGTTCGCGAATGTTCGTGTGCGCGACGTTGCACGTTCCGTTTTTGGCGACGAATCGCGCTTTCCGCTGTTTAGTCTTGAATTTTGGCTGTAACACATCCTCCGCCAACCGAGTCAACAAATAATCCTCGGGAATGAGTCCTTTTCTGGACAACATTGCTGGTCCATGCTACTGTTTCGCTGGCGCGCTGCTAAGTTGTAACATGGCACAGCTTTTGCGCACTTTCCGCGTGTCCGTCCTGGCGCTGCGCGCGCACTCGCTCACTAGAGGTGAGGAGGTCCCGTGGGAAGGCGCCGCTTTTAGTTCACCGGCTGCCGCTGCCTGTCAATTGCAACCGGATATTTTCTCACACATCCTCAGATGTGACTGCGCTGCACAGAGCAGACACAGGGCATGCGTGCAAAACGCGAACTTTACCACAAAAAACCGCTCTGCGTCAATAATTAAAAGACATGTTCTGTACAGACCACTATACCCATGACAGTGAGGGCTGCATTACTATCTGTACTATAGTCATTGATGATTTAGCCTGCTCATTACAGCAAAAAGCGTTTGTAGATATCTCTTTCCCTACACTGTTAAAAAAAAACTAATTTTACAGAAAATATCCTTAAATTTTTTACTGTATTTTTTTTGTCATTTCACATTATATTCAAAACTTAGTAAAATAACAACCAATCTCTCTAAATTAACCGTTTGACTTTCATTTTAGGTACTTTATTATTAAAGACAAATTACTGACATTTGTGTTTTTTTATACAGGGAAATTACAGTATTATTTATACAGTATTCTGTTATTTTAAATTATTTTCAAAAGTTCGTAAAAATCACAAACATTTTCTGTAAATTAACGGCTTGACTGTTATTTTATGTACTATATAAGTAATGACAAATTACAGCAATTTGTCTGTTTTTTACAAAAACATTGACATATTATTTACAATGTTTTTTCATGTTTTTAAGTACATTTAACATTAAGTAAAATGAAAGTAATAAATTGTAATTACTTGCTCTGTAAAAAAAAAAAAAAAAAAAAAGTAAAAAAAAGGTCAAATGACTGGCAGCTGCTGCTGCCAAACAAAAACCATAAAATTAAGGTAAAATTTCTTTGTTGAAAAAAGTGCAAAAAATAATAAATCAACAGATATTTTCATTAAAAGGTTTACAGAGAAACACTGTTATTTTACAGACTTTTCCTAGATTATTATGATCAAATCCATTTAATAAAGTAACACACTAAGAGTGCTCACATACACCTGTTTCAGATTCCGCTGATTGCACACACACAGTCGGAGGATCATTATGAACTGATTACATGCACTTTAAAAGCAGCACAGACGCACGCACCAATTGCTTAGTCTTGTTATGCTGCTACTGTGAACATTATGACGCGTTTCTCTTCTTTTGCCTTGCCTTGCCTTGCTTTGCTTGTTAATTGTTTATGTTGTTTGCTGCGGGACTGACCATTTGCCTGTTATTTGATCATGACTCTGGATTCCCTGCAAAATGTTACATCTGTTACTCCTGTGTTGACTGTTGCTTGCCTTTGGATCTGCACTCATTTGTCCCCTGCACTCAGCGTCCCCTTCATGTTACAGTTCCATTTCATTTAAGATCTGTAACTGAATTATTCCATATAACTAAAACCTCTACATGTTTTACATAAACACTATTTAATAAAATGTAACAACTGTAATTTTAAAGTTGTGAGAATTTTAATCCGTTGTATCTCGTTTGTTGTTTTTTCCAAAAATTTTTGATCCAAATTAAAACTGTTAAATTACGATCATGAGCATGTCTTGGCATGTTATTAAAGGTGTTTAATCGTAATGATTCAGGGAAAAGTCTTTTAAGTAACATTGTTTTCTCTTGAACTTTTAGTGCAGTCACTTTATTGATGATGTTTGATCATAATAATCTAGGAGAAGTCTGTATAATAGTGTTTCTTTGTAAAACTCTTAGTGTATACCTTTATTGAATGGATTTGATCATAATAATCTAGGAAAAGTCTGTAAAATAACAGTGTTTTTCTGTAAACATTTTAATGAAAATATCTGTATATTTATTATTTTTTGCACTTTATTTCAACTAAGACATTTTACCGTAATTTTATGTTTTTTGTTTGGCAGCCGTAGCTGCCAGTCATTTGACCTTTTTTTTATGATTTTTTTTCTTACAGTGTTTGATAAACCTAGCCTATTCATTTAATTACCAATATAATCATTTTTTATGTATTTAAGAACCTATTGAAAATCCATTTCAATATAAGATATAACAATTTCAAACTGTTTATAAGGTTTAAAAAAGCATTATATATTATTTAAAGCATTACTTTGTTTTATTTCGGCTAGAGAAAAAGCAGTTTTAAATTTTTTTAATCCTTTTTAAGGTCAATATTATTAGTCCCTTTAAGCTATTTTTTTTCGATAGTCTACAAATCAAACCATCGTTATACAATAACTTGCCTAATTACCTTAACCTGCCTAGTTAATCTAATTACCCTAGTTAAACCTTTAAATGTCACTTTAAGCTGTATAGAAGTGTCTTGAAAAATATCAAGTCAAATATTATTTACTGTCAACATGGCAAAGATAAAATAAATCAGTTATTAGAAATTAATTATTAAAACTATTATGTTTAGAAATGTGTTGAAAAAAATCTTCTTTCCGTTAAACAGAAATTGGGGAAAATAAACAGGGGGGCTAATAATTCTGACTTCAACTGTATATAATCATTTCATTAGCAAATTGTTTAAATAATAGAACATAATAAAATATAATGTTATTCATTCATAGTTTATTACACTCCATAATCGTATATGTGAATAGTGATACATTAACACATTAGCAAGGGTTGCTTATGACAAGACATTCGTTCTTTACTATTGAGTCTTTACTATTGAATGCCATACCACATTTGGCTCTAAAATATTTTTGTATGTAATTCTGCAAGTTATACTGTAGACTGCAAAAAACGGTTCCATTTCTTAACACCTTATGTCACTAGTTAACACACTCAATGCATTTTTTCCCAACACATCCCATAATTTCTAAAATATCAGCCAATTTAAATGATATATTTGAGTGAATAACCCAAATATCAACTAAAATAAGTCTTCTACTTATAATAAAATAATGTAATAACTAAAAATAATGAATGCATTTTATTACAAGAAATGACCTCTCGATTCCCCCTTAATACTCTCATACGTTTGTTATAGGCTACTTAAAATGAATTCATGACTCCCTTATTGTTGAAAATGAACTACAGTTTGCAGAGACTGTATTCTGTTTTATTTTACTGTAAATCTTTTGTTGTTATTGCAATAAATAAACAAATAGTTTATCATGTCATGTGATCAGTCATCATGTTTGCAGGAACTTTAAGCCCTAAAGTGTCCGGCTTGAAGACTCCATTTTAAACTTCGCGCCCACCTGCAATTGGCTTATCACGTTGATCACTGGCTGCAGCCGTGGTTCAAGTCGAACGTACCTAAAAACTAAGCCATATTGGCTTTTAAAATGTCCCAAACAGTGTTTTTAACAGTCCAAAATGGCCAAAAAAAATATTTTGACTCTCTGATAGTCAAAACATGTTCAAAAAATGTGTGTAATATGTGTGTTATATACAGTATGCAATAAAAACAGTCAGGAAAAAGTGTAAGCCCAAATAGCAAAGAAAAATAAAAAATGCTGTAAAAAAACCAGCCTAGGCCTTAAGAGGTTAAGGTGCAATTGTTTTGGTTTTCCAGCACCTAACAACCAATTACGTTTATATATATGCTACATGTACTTTTTCACATTTAAATCCATTGTGTTATTATAAAAAAACACAAAAGGACATTGTTGAATACTTTGGAGCATAGATTTATTGGGACAGTTCACCCAAAAATGGTAAAATGTGCCATTATTTGTAACTTTATGTGGTTTCTAAAACAAAATCTGTCAGTGTCATTTTCATTGTATACCCAGACCTTTACATGTTCGTGGCTTTAGCTGATTTGAAGGAAGGCATTGGCTGAGTGATTGACAGCTGATATTAACTATTCTATTTACTTCCAGTTCAAGAGCAGTGGGCCAATCAGAAGAGCTGTAAGGCAGGGCAAGCATTGCAGGCTTTGTTTACTGCAGAAAGTTGACATGTCAACTGTTTTAAACTATTTCTAAGCACTGCGTTTGGCATTTTTAGGTGAAAATATGCATTTGAGATGTGAACGTCTCCTAAATACGCACATGCTGTAAACATTTGGCAGTGAAAATGGGTCGCACGGAAACAATTTTATTTGTCCCCTTGCACAAATGCTCCCAAATATATTTTGAACTAGCATAGATAAAATTTCAGGCACATATGCAACCAAGACTGTCACAATTTTGAGTCCTGGAATTTTAAATTAAACAGGTTCAAGCTCTGTGTCCAATATCCAAGCACTTTTCCAACCTTAAAAACACTGTATTAAAGATCCAGCATTTTCATTTTTAGGTGAACAAACCCTTTTAAAAGTGAGTAAATCTGTAATTTGGACTACTACTTTTGGAAATTTTCAACTAATCACTTTTTAAAGTGTATATAATAAAAATAAATAAAAGTAGAGCTTGTTTATATATTTTTATTAATAAATGATTAACTTTGTATTTACAAATGTGATGATAATCACAGTAATAAATAATGCATTATTCATGATACAATTGCACTTTCAGTAGAGGGTCTCCCTGCTCATTTGTCCGCTCGCACGAATGATGCAAACACACTGTCCTCCTGGTCGAGAAGAACCTCCGGCTTATCAAACTCCAGAATGACTCCTCTCTTCATCACAATCACCAGGTCTGCATTCAGGATGGTGTGAACACGATGCTATGGAAAACACACACACACACACACACACACATTAAAATGCCTTTGCTTGAGCAGGCTAAAATGCCTCTCAATCATTAAAAGCCTTGAATCGTCGTCATTGTGCCATTAGACTTAAATATTAAAGTCAGAAAGAAACCTAATAAGGAACTTACGGCGATGGTGACCACAGTTCTGTCGGCGAAGGCTGTCATCACAACTTTCTGTAGAATGCTCTCCTACAATAAAAGAGCAAGAGAGTTTCTCAATTTTAACCTGAAGTAGATTGATTGAAGTGTTCAGTGCTCAGATATGAGTTCACCCAT